TAATTCTATACATTATACGTGTTAGTATATCAAAATATCATTTTTAATCTGTTCGTATCTAGTTTTATAAATATATTTTGAAAAGTTTAGAAACTTAACACACATCCAGTTCTGTTTTGTTTCGGCTTCTCTGAAATTTAGACAAAATTTCAGACGGATAGTTTTCACCCTTTTAAACGAAAAAAAGTGGTGGTACTCAAGAATTTAGAAAAACAACTTGCATTTTCAACTAATTCATCCTATGCGCGACCAAACAGCTAATAAGAACAGACTTTTCTGACTTATCGATTTGTGGAAAAAGAGGCACTTTTTAAAATAAACTATGCTGTCATTGTGACACAGAAGAAAATAGAGGCTCAACTTTGTGGCATTGAAATCTAATGATTTGGGCTTCTGGAGAATTCCAGCTGCCGCTTCGGATGATGTAACGGGGAAAAATTAATAATGATTTTTCCCGTATTGTCGACCCATATCTCGATAATCTAATCACTTATTCAAACGTTGAACACTTGACTTTAGCATAATGTGACAGAGCCCACAATTTTACATGTATTAAAGATTTCTAGAGTTTTAAGAGTGTGTTTTTTGATTGAAGACAAGATAAAACTGATAGATGATGTGATAGTACCGGAATTCAGTATATTAAGTTTCTAAACTTTTCAAAATATATTTATAAAACTAGATACGAACAGATTAAAAATGATATTTTGATATACTAACACGTATAATGTATAGAATTATGGTTGAAGGTCTGCGAATCAGGTTGATTTATGGTTCGAAACATATAGAAAATACCGCATATCTGGAATTATGCATATGAAATTATGGCACAATTCAGCATGATTCGTAGTGAATCACTAAGGGAAGTAAGTATAGTTCGTCATAAATTGAGAGAGGGGACCATAATTCTTGATATGAATTAGGAATTCAACGTAGTTATATGCTGTTTGCTGTTCAGATTGAAAAATCATAGGGATAAGGCAGCTCACTCGTTTTTACAGGAAATACGCGAGTCCTGGAAAGTAATGCGGAGACTTACATGGCGAGCGGTCACTAGTTCCGTGCTCTGTTCGTATTGCTCTTGTTCTTATTTGCTCTACTGAGCTTTAAATGAATTTTTGAAATGTTGAAATTTGCATTGAAATTTTGCATTGAAATGCATTGAAATTTTTTGGTAGAATGTGGTACTCCTGTTATTTCTAAAAAATGGCTGTACACCATAAAAATTACTAGTATATCATTTGTTTCTTTCTAGACAACCTCCTGGTACGGTGTTCTGTATCAGGGTAACAGCCATCATTTCAAAATTCAAACATGCGTTTAGTAGAAGTTTTAAGTAAATAGTGACTATAATAAACATAATTCAATAATTCCATAACTCACATTAGAGACGAAGTGTCTCGAATTATGCTGAATTACGGTCCATTTCCATAGTGATTTATGGTAGATTGTGCCACAATTCCATAATTCAAATATGCTCCTAGGAGAAGTTGGAAGTGAGTAGTGACTATCATGAGTATAATTCCATCGTAATATCATCTGCTGTATTGGTGATATTTTCTATATATTTGAACCATAAATCAACCTGATTCACAGACGGTCAACCATAATTCCATAATACAATATCAAGCGTTATTGTCAGTTTAATCAAAATGACCAGAATGTTTTTGTGACCTTTATAATCTTATGTTCCTGTTTGACTGTTAGATTAACTATGTAGTGAATTAGGTTGAGTTATGGTTACCAGAAATCGTTTACAAGCAGAGTCTTCAAATCTTACCTGCACTAAGAGTTCAAGCAACCCAAAACATTAATAACCCTCAAGTTTTTTGAAAAAACTAGGATGTACTATCGACGTGGTTCGTAATCTTAGTCTAAAGTAATGTTAAGCCTTTACTCTATGGGGCGTGAACTTAAGTTAAGTATTGATTTGCTGTAAAACGACACACTAAAGCAAATGGAAGTTCGACTAATAACAGAGCCGTTTAAGAAATTTGTGGCCCCTGTGCTGATCATTAACGTTTTAGAGTATAACACTGCTAAAAAATCATAATAGATTTTTAACAAAAATCAATTTATGGTTTAATTAGCATTCTTACTATATATAGAGAGATTGTATTTCACTTTTCTGTTTTTCTTGATGATGATAAGTGTCTCTTATCGAAAGCTTGAAAAACCATAAATTGATTTTTGTTAAAAATCTATTATGATTTTTGTAGCAGTGTTATACTCAATAATTTCTAAATTTATTTCTACTGCTCCACCTTCAAATTATTCATTAACGTTTTCAACACATCAATTTGTATTTTTTTTAATAATAACAAAATGCAAGGCTTAAGCCGTTCGATTGGGCCACTGCGTCAGCCGGATCCTTGTGCTATAGCACAATTAGCACATAGGATAAGAAGGCACTGACTAATAACATGATCTTGAGATGAAGAATGAAACATCCCGTGTACTGTCACTATCTCCAAACATTGGTTAGGATTTAACGATAGAAAATGATGGTGAGAGGGCGTTACCTTCAGCAGTGAATATGATTCTGCTGTTTTATTGCACAATCATCTGATCAATAACCAGTTCAGTGAGAGAGATGAGGTAGCGGGGAAGAAAATGAATTTTCTACATGTATTTGTTTCATCACAACTGATGTTCTGTGTTTTATTGCTGATATTGACTTTTTTTCTGATGTTGCAAAAGTTTGAGAAACCATACGAGTCATATTAATAAGTTAGCCTCTGTTAGAAGTACCCTTTGTATCTTTTTTGTTGTAGAGTCATAAAGAAAATTGAGAAAAATAACGTTTATCTCAACTATTTGCCTTTATTACTTCTTATTCAGGTTTTCATCTATCGTGAACTAATATTTGGCAAGAAACTTAAGATCGAATACGATGGTTGTCAAACTGATTCTGTTTGTGTAGTTCCGTCGTTACAAAGGCTATCGTTAAAATATGTCTCAAAATGAGTTTTTTTCTTCAGTTCTAACTATAAGACTTGGAAAAGCTTAAAACTACAAGTGCTTTGATTAATTTTCAGATACTAAGAACTGACGTTACTGTTGATCATTTTTTCACGATAAACTTTAATGCATAACTACGATGAGTTCATCAGGCGAGATCAATGGCAATCCTTTTACAACACAAAACTTTTCATCCGAAAAGCGTTCATTAAGTGAAATAAATACAACAAAACGAACTGGATACGGGAGTTTAGCTAAATCTCAAATTCAACCGATTTTCTATATTCGACATAAACTAGAACATGGTGAAACAATTCAACGATTGGCACTTAGATACAGTGTAAACGTAAGTTTGGTAGTAAATACAACATGTAAATATCTGATTTACTCTGTTTCTCTTGTTTAGATTCAAGAAATTAAACGAGTTAATAAACTTTGGTCTGATTCAGAACTTTGTTTATTATCGAACGTTCTTATACCGGTGAATAATAGTCAATTAACTATACTTAAAGCAACATATCCCACGTTAGACATTTTGCAAGGATCATCACCAATAAGCAATCATCAGTCAAGAAAAACATCAACGAGTAATGACGATGATAATCAATCAGTTGTAAGTTCATCTACAAGTACATCATCTTTCAATAAAAAAGAATCTTATCAAGATTACTTTTCAAAAGTTGATAAACAAATTTGTACATCAAAAAAGTCGTTACAAACTCTTGGTGCTGAACACACAAGGTATTTCTACTTCTTTATTACAGACAGTTCTTTTATGTTTTCGTTTTATTTATAGGTCAAAAACATTACCTTCATCTTCGTCTTCCTCTTCAAGAATCTCTATGTGTTCCTCAATAATGGGCGATGAAGGTGATACATCAATAATATCACATAATGCGCGTTTAACGTATCCATCAACTGCAAATAATAATACCGATTCTGAACATTATCAACATAGAAAGCCTATTTCATCGAGCGATGTAATTGTTAATATTCCACAATCTAACTCGCGTGATAAACATGCTCGTGCTGCACTCGAACGGATACAACGAGAAAAAGACGATATTTATGAACTCTAATATGATTTGATTTTGTAGAAAAATCTGTTATGACAAATATCTGATAGAATAATTCTTTGTTTTAATTCAATGTTGCGTTTCTGCATCTCTAAGTCAAAACAAGAACAAGAACAACTCATTAATGTTGACAATACTCATATGTTTGTTTTGTTCTTACTTTTATTTATCACATTTTATTGTTGTTGTTGTATATTTGTATTTAATCATCTTATGTTTTACATTTCAAGTATCTTCCTCATAAATCTGTTTTCTCTCACTCCTTTCTAGTGTTTCACCGAATAGCGTATTTTTTTCTTCTAAAGACAGTGCTTAGTACATAACAGTGCAGTTGGCTTTCTCACATTAATTTTGAACAACACTTTGTCCATAGTGCTCGTATTAACGTCGTCGCTATATTAACGATACAGTGAAAAATTAAAAAAAAGTCCGTGGAGAAAGTAGAAAAAAGCCTGTCTGATATTCCTGATATGCATATAAGACAACGACTGCTAGTGCAAGCGTTTGTTTTTTCTTGTTTCATGTTGTGCAATATACTTGTATGTATTCGTTTTTTTTGTAAAGCATCAATCAAATAAGAAACTTCCTTTATTTTTTGTTGTATTTCTCAAATAAACAAATAGACAAATACCTATATTTAGTTTTGACGTTTTTTTTTGATAGTGATTAAATGAATAAAAATGTTTCTCTTGGTTCAATTTTTTCAGATGTTAACACGTCGCGTATTACATCGTTTATTTCGGTGTGCTGTAGGACAAATAAACAAACGGCAACAATCAACACAACAAAATCTTTTAATTAGTGGCCATATCAATGCTCCGTTAACGAACAAACTGCAATTTCTTTTCCCAAAAGACCGTCCAATTATTCCTGTTTATCGTGTTTTAGAAACAGATGGACATGTTATAGATGAAACACAAACACCATCGGTTTATATTTTTTTAAATATATTAATCTCTTTTGGTTAATATTTGTTTTTGTTTTAGTTTTCTGATGAACAAATCGTTAAAATGTATAAAGATATGACATTATTATCCACAATGGATGAACTACTGTATCAATCACAACGTCAAGGTCGTATCAGTTTTTATATGACAAATTATGGTGAAGAAGCTACACATGTATGTTTATCATTGTACGTGTGATCAGAGATGCACGAAGTACGAATTCCCTGTGAGGAGCACTAACGGAAGAAAAAAAATTCTTTTATTTGAAGGACGGGTCTTGAACTACCTAAAAATTGGCGAGCGAGGACACTGCGAGACAGAATTGTTTTTGTTTACAGGCGTGATCATTACTCAGCGATGATCTAATCTAAGCCTACAAACAGTAAACAAAATTATTATCCTCCGTTCTATAGAAAAACATAAAATTTTCGGTTTATTTTTATGTATTAATACAACTGTCTTGAAATAAAACATGACGTTCTCTAGAAAGAAAATTTAAGAATATTGAGGAGGAAAAACACTGCGATATGAAGCAATTCCAAAACGTGACGAAGCGGAAAAGTTTTTCAACGAGGACGAGTTTTGGAAAATGGGTTCCCGTGCATCACTAGGTGTCATCCCGATTGACATGTCTTTGCGTTTTAGGTGGGTAGTGCAGCAGCACTTGATCCAAATGATCTTGTTTATGGTCAATACAGAGAAGCTGGTATGCTCTTATAATTGTTCGAATAATATACATGTAATTAATGTTAATATTTATTGTTCAGGTGTTCTCATGTATCGTGGTTTTCAGTTAGATGATTTTATGAATCAATGTTTTGGCAATTTAAAAGCATCATGTAAAGGAATTCAAATGCCCGTTCATTATGGCTCAAAAAAATTAAATTTTGTTACAATTTCATCAACATTAGCCACTCAAATGCCACAAGCTGTTGGAAGCGCTTATGCTTATAAAAGGTAACAAAACTATACATAGTTAATTTTTGAAAATATTAGTTTTTTAAATTTTAGAGCACAAAATATGTTATGTGTCATTTGTTATTTTGGTGAAGGAGCGTCATCTGAAGGAGATGCGCATGCTGCTTTAAATTTTTCAGCAACGCTTGAAGCGCCTGTTTTATTTTTCTGGTAGGTTAAATGATAGTATTGTTCGAAGTATGAATTACTATTTATATGATTCCAGTCGTAATAACGGCTATGCCATATCAACATCAGCTACTGAACAATATCGTGGTGATGGTGTAGCTAGTCGTGGACCTGGCTATGGAATTGCAGCGATCCGTGTTGATGGCAATGATTTATTTGCTGTTTATAATGCAACAAAAGCTGCACGAGACATGGCGGTAAATGAAATGCGACCAGTATTGATCGAAGCAATGACTTATAGGTAAGTATATTTCCATCTTCCTTTTCAAACTTCTAATTCCGATAAAAGATTTTTCTCTATGAAAAAAATCGTTTATTTTGTACGATTTATTTTAGAGTGGGTCATCATAGTACGTCTGATGATAGTTCAGCATATCGTTCAATTGATGAAGTACGCATTAGAGATAAAAGAGATAATCCAATATCGAGATTTCGAAAATATATGACTTTACGTGGTTGCTGGAATGAAGAAAAAGAAGAAGAATGGGTTAAAGAATCCAAACGTTCCGTGAGTTTCTGGTGTACATACTTTTCTCTATTCATCTAATCTAGACATTTGTCTATGGGTTTAATACAGGTTATGGAATCATTTACTCGTTGTGAAAAAATAAAACGTGCTTCACCAGCAACGATATTTGAAAATGTATTTGATAAAGTTGAACCACATTTACAACGTCAAATGAAAGAAATGAATGAACATATAAAACTCCATCATGATCATTTTCCGTGGACACAATATGAATCGATGTAAAAGAGAGAGTATGAGATTATAAACTAGTAGGATATAGTTTGATTCTATTTTGTACATCACATTAAACCGTGTGACTTTTAACAGTTTTTAATTGTTCTTGTGTTATCTGTTTTTCTGTCCGAAAATTATTAAGTATATTTTCGAGAAAAAAAATGTTTTGATTTTTTTTATTACAACAGCATATTTACTAGTACGTATCTTTGATGAACATTTTATATTTTCATGAAAAATCGTTTGTTATTCATCTATTTTTAGATATATCTAGTTATATTTACAGAAAGTCGACTATCGCGTTATTGTCAATAGAATTGTCGATCTAGCTGCAGCATTCCGATTATAGTTAACATTTCCGTAGTTGAAAACACTGTTCATCGAAAAAGAAAATCAGCTGAGTAGATGCTCCAAATTTTTTCCTTCTAATTTTCTTTATTCTCAAGATCAAACCGTCAATCTCGTTAATATTTAGGGAAAAATGATGTATGTTTTTTTTAGAAACCTGTTATAAACCAAATTCAGTTAAAGTAAAACGCTACATTGAAGATTTAAAACGTATTGACAAATTTTAGAAAGCCAGAACTTTTAAAAAATATAGCGAATGACTTGACATAATCACTAGATATCTAGCTTTTGATATTCTTTTTTCTTGTATTGAAATTGAATATATCAAATCTAACCAATCGAGAAATGTTTGCATGGCAAATGGTTCGGTTAATAACGTCCATGCGTCGTGACCTATGAAGCAGATCAGCTAATTTAAGACTACAAAGATAAGCGGGGTCTTTCTAAAGCACAAGCCGGAAAAGACTCTCAGTTCGCGGAAATAAAATTTTAATTTAAAAACTCGCTGAAAATTTTAGATATAATAATGACGTTACATTGATGCGCATTTTATTTGCTGGATGAGTTCTAATATTTAGTAGACATGGAGAGCGGCAGTTATAGTTTAAATGAAACGGTACATCATCATTCCATGATTGTGACTAACGCTAAGGAATACTTTGCTTTAAAATACAATTTTTATTTTCCAGTTTTAGTTGTAGAATTGTTGATGATAATTTTGTGTTTAGAAATTATCTATATATTCTATGATTCTCAGTGAAGCCAGTTTCCACTAAAATTTGAGTGAACATTATAACGGCAGGATCCCACTAGGTACAATCGTGCAATAGACTAATAGTTCATATAATATGAACTGTGACATTATGTTTTTGTTTATAACAAAGTTTAAATCTACCGTCTCACATTTGTTTCTTTTCTATCTTAAGGCTAAAATGGCTGCTCTTTATTTATAGATTGTTATTACGAAACAACAATAATGTCTTCATCACCGTTAATCAGTCAACTTGAAGAAATGGGGTTTTCTATACAGCAAGCGTATGTTTTTTCTTTTCTCTCTTTCAATTTCTGATTGTAACCTCTCTGCCTGTAATTGCAGTGAATCAGCAGTTAATATTGGAAAATCGAACAACCTTGAACAAGCAATCGATTGGTAAGTTTCTCGCAAAACATTAGTATCAATAACAAATTATCATGTTTCTCTACAGGATTGTTGCACATGGAGAAGAAACGACAAGTGAACAGCAACAACAACAACCAGTGTTAACATTGAATGATTCTACCACAAACAATGCAACAGCATCGTCGACAACAACAGAACAAAAACCAGAAGCAAATTCTTTAAAATGCGATGAGTATGTAATGTCATATTTACATGATAAATAAATAATAATTATTATTTTCTTTTTTATTTAGATGTGGTAAACTTTTAAAAGATGCTGATGCGGCAACGTTTCATGCAACTAAAACAAATCATTCCAGTTTTTCCGAATGTACAGAAACAGTCAAACCGTTGACAGATGAAGAACGTGAAGAAATGAAGAAAAAGTATAAATAACTAAATACTATTTCTTTGTCTCTATCTTATACGTATGATAATAGATTAAGTGAACGCATAAAAATGCGGCGAGCTGAAATTGCCAAACAAGAAGAAGAAAAAGAACTTGATCGAGAAAGAAAACGGATCAACGATGGGAAAGAATTGGGAAAGATTAAAGCAAAGTAGGATAATAACAATCAAATGTAATTCGTTTTTGTAATATCTATTTGTTTTGTTTGTAGAAAGGAAGAGGATGATATGAAGAAATTAGCTGCTGAACGTAAACGAGAAAAAGAAGAAGCAAGATTGGCAAAAGAACGTGTTATTGAACAAATTGCTCGTGATAGAGCTGATAAAGCAGCCAAAGCAAAAGCCGAACAAAGTGGTAATCTAGTTGAAGAAAAACCAAGACCAGAACATTTTGCAACGCCACCAGTACATAAGTCATATGATGAGTGCACAATTCAAGTATAAATGTTTACTTTTTCTCATTACTCTCACATTATCATATAATCAAAAATGTTTTTAGATTCGTTTACCAGATGGATCTTCGGTGCGTGAGAATTTTAAAGTAACAGATAAATTTGATAAGGTGCTTGAATGGCTAAAAGATATTCGAAAATCATCAACAACACGTCCATTTATGTTATTTCAAACTTTTCCAAAGAAAGAATATCAAGATACAGATAGATACAAGACGCTAGAGGATTTACGTAAGTTTTATTAGTCAAATCGCAATTTTTTTAATAATAAGTATCTGAAATTGACTACTGTTACTAGATAATAATTCTGTATTCTCTTAATGGTTCAAGGTCGATTAGATACATATATGTTTCGCTTTACAGTGTTCTCACAAAAAAAATAATATAACGTTATTAGGTCAATAGGTAGTTGATAGTTTAGGATTAAATCATTATTATTAACTATTTAATTTGTTCTATTTCTATAACATATGTGACTAGTTTTGATTTTCTTCATTCGTTTAGAACTTGTACCGTCATCGAGTTTACACTTAAAAGAATTAACCCAATTTCAAACGTGAACGACACAAAGCTATACATTGTAAAAACTTATTTTACCTACGCTGTTATTTTCTTGTATGTTCTTTTTTTGAACGTTGTTCTTATCACGTTCATCTCTCTTTTTTTACACTACAAAACGTTGTTTGGCTTTTCTTTTTTTTAACTTACGAATAAATAAATCAAGAACTTGAATTTAGTTTTTACTTTTAGAAGGTGTTATTGATGTTGCTTCAAACGTTCTATATAACTGGATTAGTCAAAAAATATTTGATGTCCGAAGTAGTGTCTGTCTGTAAGTCAATTTTAGCAGAACGCTGATATTGCATAGGATTTCCATTTCTCTGGATTAAAGAGTGTTAGCCCAATTCTACATCTTTCAACTTTAAAAATACTCTATAACTTTAGCACTGTCAAAGGCATGTAATTACCTTCGGCGAGGTACTCATTTTACTTGGTCTCTGATTGAAAGTTAAAATTATAGTGAATGGTTACTATTACAGTACGTAACATTAGTAGTAGTAGTACTAGCGGAGAAAGCAGTGAAGCATTACACTAAAGGCATTTAATAGAGTACTTACCTTTTCTACTTACCCAGATGGTTGTCAAATGAAGTCAATGGTAGTGGTGCTCGCGACTCTTTAACTGATCTTAACTGATAGGGCAGAAGGTTAAGTCATCGCTTTAGGATGAATTGAATGGTCGCTTGACGAAAGATTAGTTTATTCTGTTGTTTAATCAGTGTCGTTTGAAGGATAAATTAATAGAAAGCTAGCTGCGCTACTCGCTCAAGTTTCCTTATAATGCATGCTTGTGTTGTGGCGACCAGTCGATCACAAGCTACATTTCACTAAAAAATGAACATATTTAAAGCTAAATTTGAAAAGATTTTGATGGCTTTAATTCAAGTGGTTTCTAGGCGGTAAATTTCATCGTAGAAGCATTCTCGGAGAATTTTGTGACCATTGGTTTTCAAATGAATTCTGCAGATGAATTAACTAATGTCAACCTGAAAACCTCTAGTTTATCTATACCATCTTAAACACAAACCCTAGTGAATGTACTTGCATGCTGGTACTTGATCAAGTACCATCGCAAGTTTTGTCCAACGTTCTTGCGCTTTTGCACAAGTAAACCAAGTACTTACCAAGAAAACCAAGTACTTGAATTACTTTATCTTTTTGTCAAGTCTTTAGTCAAGCACTTGCCTACGTAACCTCCAAGTGACTGTGAGAGGTATGATAAGTAAATCAAGTACATGGCAAGTACTTTCAAGCATTTATCAAGTAGTATTTTTTGAAAATACTTGTCAAGTGCTTGCCAAGTGCCCGTGGAAATTTGCAAGTAAACAAGTACTCACTCGCAAGTATATTTACTAGGGAAGTTAGTCATTTTAGCCTGTATGGACTGCCAATTAAAGGATTTTGCTTATAATATACCAGAAATGAACAAAGAAAATTGGAAGACGAGAAGTTTGTTACAAGATGTTTTGCTCATTTCAAAAAACGCTCATTTTCAAAAAATTATTGCAATAAATCTACAAACTAATCTAAAATGGCAAATAGATAATTAAGTAGATTAAACATTTGTCTACAAAATGAAAAGTGTCTCGCTCTGAATGTTGATTCGTTATGAAAATACAGCTGTTGTACAAACAGCTCCAAACATCGATCTAAGCGCTATCTGAAAAACGTGTCTAAAAGAGTGAAGACAAGAAGTCGAAACTTGAACAAGTATACCAGTTTGTAGAAAATTGTTTGCTCTACAAGATGTGATAGCTTGTCAAGTCCGAAACTATTCTGATTAATCTGTATTAATCAAAGAAAAACTAGAAAAACCGTAACGCGGTGACAAAAAACGGGCAAACGTGTCACAGTGTCGCGGTTTTTCTAGTTTTTCTTTGATTAATACAGATTAATCAGAA